TTGCTTCAGGGACGAGGTGACAGAGGCTCACAGCTTGCCTCGGTCACCCCAAGGGCAGAGGCTGAGGCAGCAGCCAGACAACACCGTCAGGCCGTGGTTTTCCCATCTGTAAAATGGAGCCACGAAAATGCCCACTGATACAATGTTACGAGTATGTTTCTGCGTATCTACCCCACCCGCAGTCTGATTAGTAACATCACTTACGACTCTAACTTACACACTGCAATTGCAATGTTAAACGCCCTGTTACACTTATTCTCAAGCTCCGAGTGTGTCTGAGTTAGGTCACGGATGCCCGCTGCAATCTTATTTTGTTTTTCAAGGTATATATTATATGTTTCCCCACCCGCACTGGCTAACACTGGGGCCTGCTCCCTGGCCCCCAGGCGCTCACTGAGCACCTGCTCTGCAGACACCGGACATCTCGTAAATGACAGGGAAAGAGCCACTTCCCCCTCCGGGCTGCAGGGTGGACGGAGGGTGAGTGCACGCTTCCTCGTCACTAATTAGCTCATTTCAGGGGTGCGCCCCGGCGGGCTTGAGCTGAGTCACACTTCACATCGGCTTCAGCAACTTCGTCCCAAGGGTCTGGGCCAGGTTTCCAATTTCTCCCCACCCCCCCGGCCGTTCGTGTGTTCATTACCCTGTAGCACCTGAGCTTCCCTTTGACCTTGACCTTCATGGGCAAGAGGAGCTGAAGCTCCGGGAACAAGCACAAGGAGCAGGAGTTGGTCAGGCGCTGGCACACGACAGGGTCGTCTGTCTGTCCTGACAAGAGGGAGGAAATGGTCGTGGGAGAGTCTAGTCGAAAAGCGTCCACTGGTAAAGGGACACTTTCCGGAGCTCTGCGGGGGACATGGGGCGAGGGAGAGAGCCAGTGGCAGGTGGTCTGGCCCGAAACCCGGGGAGAGCAACGTCACTAGCAGGGACATTCCATTGCCTTCTACCGTATGACGCAGTTTTAAAAAACTATTTGGCATTTTTTCTTCCCATGGAAAAATCAGTAAAATCTACACCACCCCTCGCATAAAAATCTCAGATGTGGGTTTCTTCTGCTGCCCGAAAGGTGCTGAGAGTGGGCGGGGGCAAGCCGCGAGGGCGAGGGCGGAGGCTCCTCCCGCAGGTGCAGGCACAGATGGGTAGGAACAAGCACAGGTATAGGCGCAGGCGCAGGTGGGTGGGAGCAGGCTTCCCAGCCGTGCCGTGCTCGCTGGGGCAGCCTCGGCCGTGGGGTCTGGTTTTGGAGGCACCACGTGCACTTTCACAGAGAGTCCTTACGGCCAAAATGTTGGTCCACACAGCACTGCCCCTACGCTGCCTGCTGGCCAGGCTACATCGAAGTCCTACAGGAGACAGACACCATAAGGGGCACCTTCGCAGGCACGCTTCTTCGTCTTGTCCCCCAAGGGTCAGCCCCGCTCGGAGGGGACGTTTTAGCACAGCGATGGGGTGGGGGTGGGGACCGACTGGGCGGATCTGGGAAGGCGGTGCCGTGTGCACTGATCTTGGTGTCTCTCACTCCTTCGAGTTTAGCCTGAGCTCTTGCGTCACCTGGCTGTTGTCAAGGTGCTGGACAGGCCAGGGGGCCAAACATGCTTTGAGAGACTCTCTCACTAACCGAACCTGCCTCACGATGCCACCCCAGGGTCCTCCTGAGAAAGCAGGGAGAGCGCCCCTGGGGGCGGCCTCAGGTCAGCTCGCAGGCCGACCAGACTGGGGGTGGGAGAACCAGAGAGTGGACTGTTGAGTGGGGGGTGGAGCTCGTACTCAGCGGTGGTCAGTGACGACAAGCCGACCCCACTGGGGTCGGTGTGCGGGTCTCACTGAGGGAGGTGGGCTCGCCCCCTGCTCTGTCTGCAGACTCGCCCCTGCTCTGTGGGAGGGGGAGGCTCCTGTCTCCTCCGCACTCACCTCTCTGGCGTTTCCCCGGAGGAGGGGGGCTGCTGTGCTGGGGCCCCCGGGCTCCGCTGGCCCAGGAGCTTCCCTAGCGGGCGAGGCTGCTGCCCTGGACGGAGCTGTGTCCCCCGCAGACACAGATGTCAAAGCCCTGAGCCCCAGGGTGACTGTGTCTGGCGATGGGGCTTTAGGACATAACTGGGGTTACATGAGGTCGCAGGGATGGGCCCTCACCTAGTAGGACCAGTGTCCTCGGAAGAAGAGGGAGGGAACGCTGGCACCCTCTGCCATGTGAGGACACAGGGAGCAGGTGGCTGTCGGGGAGCTGGGAGGGGCTCTCAGGAAGCCGACTCTGCGGACCGACGCCCTGACCTCGGACTTCCTCCAGCCTCTCGAACGCGGGCAGTCAGCTCCTGTTTCTAAACCCCCAGCCCCGGCTGAGACAGCTTCGGTCTTCCCGGTGGGAGGCTCCTGCCCCGTCGGGCCCACCCCTCCGCGTGGCCCGCGGGCGCCGGATGCCACTGCCGCCCACGGGGAGGCCAGGCGGCAGCCTGCTGTGTCTCGTGACCTCAGCCCTGCGTGTCATTAGGAGGGAATTTCACAGGAGGACCGGCTGTCCGCTCGGAAGACGCTCGCTGGGGCACAATGTCTCGGGTCGTCAATCAGAAGTGTGCGATGACGGGGGCCGAGCCCACCGCAGCAGCTGGGGGGGGGACGCAACTCGGAGAAACGGGACAGGACCACAAGGGGCGGGGAAATATACTTTCTGGGGCGTGGCTTACAAAGGCAAACTGCTACACTGTGTGTATGTTTTGACTCAAGGTGAGAAACCCATGTATCCACGTGGGGGAGGTGGGAAGAAAGGAAGCCCGCATGAAATGAGCTAACTCGGGGTGGTGGGATGCGGGGGAATCTGAAACATTCTCCCTTGTCCTCAGGGCCCCATTGTCTGGGCGGAGAACAAAGCAAGGCTTATACTCGCCAGCCACGTGGTCAGCGTGGTCGGCGGCACCCGCCTGGGGGGCTGCCGCGGGCGGAGTGTCCGGGCCCACAGAGGCCCTCCCTGCCGTGCCCCGGCGCCAGGGGCTCTGCCTGCACCTGTCACAGGAGCTGTGTCCCACACAGCAGGGCTGTCGCCGCAGGGGTCCCTGGCAGACTGCTCTGCCCCTCTCCACCCCGGAGCTCACCTCTGGTTAATAGAAACAGCCCCGAGAAGCCCTGAGCCAGTTTTCCCGGCTTCCCACTGGCCGGCCGTTTCTCTCACCGGGCGTCACCTGATTGGCTCTTAATGACGGCATTCCCTGGAACCAGATCCTCCTCTGAGTCAGAGCTGGGCGCTCTCGCCAAGGATCCCGTGGCCCCGGGGAGGCGATACCCGGCCTGGCGTCTTGACACGGAGACGCCAGGAGCCCCGGCCTCCTCCGCCCTGCCTGCAGTGGGTGTGGGCACTGTGACCTCGCGGCCTCTGAACGCGCCCGGTCCCCGCGTCTCCCTGACTCCGGTGCACCCCGCGCTGTGGAACCCAGTCCAGGCCGGAAGTGATGACCGTTTTCCATGCACGCAGTCCTTGGACCAGTGTTTGAGACGCCATCCTTTCTAACACAGACCAGTGAGTGCACGTGTGAGGGACACAGTCACAGGAAGGTCTAAGAGGAAGGTCAGGTGACGCCCCACCCACCAGCCCCACTCTCGGGGGGTTCCACCCGCTTAGCGGTCGTGTGCACTCGGTGTCTTTGCACGTTTGCACACACTCAGGATCTGCATGTGTGAGTTCTCCACATCTCAGAACAACACCCAGTCAGGATTCTACCAGGCATTGTCTAGCCTAACACCTTTCATGTACTTATCCACCTTTGGGATCGGCACTTACGACACTTATGTTTTTAATGGGCACCTGGGATCTTTCTCTATGACTGTGCCGTGATTTACTTCCACAGACCTTTGAATAGACAGACATTCAGATTCTTGAAATTTGCTTTCCTGTAACCTGTACCGCTTCAAGTAGTCATTCTGTGCCCATAACTTTGTGCACATTTGCAAGCTTATTTTTAGGCTAAATTCTTTTTAAGATTTTATTTATTTATTTTTAGAGAGAGAAAGGAGGGGGGAGAGAGAGAGAGAAACATCAATGTGCGGTTGCTGGGGGCCGTGGCCTGCAACCCAGGCATGTGCCCTGACTGGGAATCGAACCTGAGACACTTTGGTTCGCAGCCCAAGCTCAATCCACTGAGCTACGCCAGCCAGGGCTAGGCTAAATTCTTAATGATGGAAATGCTAGGTCAAAGGCAACGTGCATGATGAGTTTAGATTTCTGCTGACAAACCCCCGACAGGGTGGGACCCACCGAGTTCTCCACACTCTAGGCCAGGGTGCATGCGAACTTGAAAATGTTTGCCAGTGATGTTTGAAAAGTGGCTTCTTCTGTTATTTACTGATGGTGTCCTCATGATCCAATTTGCTTTTCCCTAATTCTGAGTGAGGGGAAGCATCTTTTCACGCGTTTGTGGGCCATGTGCGTCTTTGGTTCTATGAAATACCTGGCCCCTGGCTGGCACGTTTTTCTCTAAGGCCTGTGTCTTTCTCTCATTATTTTATTAAGAAACTTAGCTCTTCACGTGCTTATGGGCTATGAACCTCCCCCTGGGTTTTGGCTAGGTGGAAATTTGGCTATTTTCATACAGAGACAATTTTTCATTTTCTCTGCAGCCCTGCGTCCCCGGCCTTCCCATCCCGTCAGCCGTGACTCCCCACTCGGCCCGGCCCTGCTGCCCTCCCTCGTCACCCGCAGGAGGGACTGGGACAAAGCTCCTCACGCAGAGCCAAGGGGTCTCCCCCGGAGTGACGTGCGTTCTCCCAGGGGAGACGTGCGCTGGCTTCATGACAAAGGAGGAGCCGCGGTGGGATTTCCCGCACCGTCATCACCGAGAAGGGGCCGGTCGTTGGGGGCGTCCGGTCTCCCGAGCGCGGTGAGTGGGCGAGCTCCCAGGACAACAGGCGTGAGCTGCCTTTGCTTGCCCCGCTCCCAGCCAGCGCACTGCCTCTCCTGCCCCCCCCCCCCGCCCAGGACCCCTCCTGCGGGTCCCCTCCTGCGGGTCTTCTCGGCCGTCCCGGGCTCATTCAGGAGCGGCGACCCCCTTCCTGGAAGCGATGACGCAGGCCCGGCCCACATCGGCACTTCTGTCTCGGGCCAGGCTTTGCCTCGTGTCCGCAGCCCAAGCCGGGAGGGCAGAGGTCCTTCCACCCACCCTCCTGTGTGAGACCTCGAGGTCAGGGCAGAAAGGACAGACAGAGAGGAGCCAGAGTCCTTTGAGGCTGCAGGTGTCCTTTGCCGCTCAGTCTGGGCTGCCGAAGCTCTTGGTCATGACAGGTGCCCAGACACTGGCTCTTTGTTGCCCTTGGAGGTGTCAGCTCTTCGGAGGGGCCTGGCCTCCGCTGATTTACTGTAACTTTCCTCAGCTCCTGCCCCCAGGGACCTCCCTACAGCCTCCATGGCTGTGGCCCCCCATGGCTGCCCAGGGTGGGTGCCCACAAAGGGCTCCATGGGGCAATCTGTTCAGCCTCCACTTGGCCCGCAGGGAAGTCACGCATTTGAACCACGCCAGCGTGGGGGGTCTGTGCAGCAGTGTGGCCACCCTCTGTCCCAGCGCTGTTGTTCCCGGTGCTCAGCCGGCCCCCGGCACAGCCCTCCCACGGGGAGCAGGCGCGGTTCGACGCTCCAGCCCGGAGCAGCAGCGGGGCTGAGAGTTTCTGCAGCTCGGCCGCCGTTCAGGTGGCAGTGAGACACGGGCACCCGCCGCGTCTAAGGAAGGTTCCCCTGGGGCCGGCTGGGGTTGGAGGTGGAGGCCATAGGGAACGTTCTAGCACCCTCCCCGCCCCCACAGCTTGACTGTTCTGTGGCTACCAGGGATGTCCCGTGAGCTCTCGTGTCCGCCTAGGTAGCCTGTGGCGGGGCAGGGGTTGGGGCTTGAGGGTTGCAGGACCTGCTTGTCAGCTCGGGGCCAGGGCCGTGGGGCTGTGCCTAGACGGAGCCTGAGGTTCCGTATTTCCTATTGTCCCCAGGATGGGACCGTCCCTGAGACGCTCAGGCAACGGAGACTGAAGTCACGTACCTGTGGCACACAGACCCTCCTTCCGCCGGGCCGAGTCCCCCGTAGTCCCCCGTAGTCCCCGTTCCCTCCTCCCTCTCCTCCCGTTAACATCATATCCAGCTCCTCTCACCGCTTCCGAGATTAATTTAGAACAAAGCTCTGGGACAAAAGTAAAGTAAGAAGAGAAATGAAAAAAACACTGAGATCCATTCTGAAGTCCTTTGCGGCTCCTGGGAAGGCTGTTTCCTCTCTGGCAGAAGCCGGCTGAGCCCTCTCTGTTCCAGCTCCCTGTGCACCGGGGGGTCACGTGACAGCAGGGGTTCCCCCCCCACCCCCCGGCTGGAGCGGCTGCTGGGCAGGCACCAACCTGCGGCGTCCAGGTCCAGGCAGCAGGGATGGCCCCGCCATGCTCGGCTCCGCGGTAGGGCCCCCGGGGGGACCGGCGAGGCTGTGCTGCGTTCAGATAAGAGGCCGCTCATTAGTAAGACGTGCGAAGAAGACCCGGTTCGTGCTCTGCGGTGCCCAGCCCACAGACCCGTGGCCGCGTGGGGACCGCACGGCTGTAACGAGCCCGGTCGCTCCGTACTGACCAGCGGCGAGCGCGGCCAAGAGGGGGACGCGGGCTTCGGGAAGCTGGACCGAAGAATTGGCGTCCTCGGCCGGCCGGACCCTTCACCCGCCCGCCTGCCAATGAGACATTCTCCTCACGGACGAAAAACAAAGCCCACTTCCCTCTGCGCCAGCGTCGAGTTTGAAAGCCGGGTTGCAGGGCCTTGTATTTAAGTACCAGCGAGAAAACAAAACGAAAACGGAGTCTGGACTGGAGCCCACCGGACCGGACCGCCTTCTCCAGGCTGGAGCGCTCCCCCCCCGCCCCCCCCCAGGCTCCGTTGAAACGGAGGGCCCCGAATCCCCGGGGGGTCCCAGCGTTCCGTCCCGAGAGCAGCAGTTGTTTCTGCACCCGCATCCTTTCAGGAGCGCGGGCAGCGAGCTCCCCCGTGAGCAGAGGCGGGGGCGGGGAAGAGCGGCTCAGAGGATGTGGTGCCTAGTCCTGGTTCTGGGGGAGCCCCCGAACCCCTCTGTGTGCTGAGGCAAAGAACCGGAAGTGGTGGCTTAAAACGGCAGAAGCTCATCCTCTCACGGGGACGGAGGACAGGGGTCTAACCTCGACGGGCCGTGGCCCTTGTCTTATAAAAGCACCAGCCACAGGGGGAAAGGGTCCGCCCTCCCTTAGTAGGACCCCGGCTTACTCACATCTTGGTCGCATCTGCAGAGACCCCGTTTGCACACCGGGGCACGTGCACCGGCACGGGGGGCTGGGGCGGGTGCGGGGGTTAGGGCTGTCAGCCTGTCTTTGGGGGGAGCGCCATTCGGCCCAGCACGCTGCTGTCTGCAAGCTTCCTGTGCGTGTCACAGGGAAGGTCCCTGGCGCTGAGTGCCGCGTGGCCGGCTCTCCCGGGGACGGCGAGCTGGTTCCAGCCTGGCCCCCTCTTCCCGGGGCGCCGGAAGAGCCGTCCAGGTCCCAGTGGCAGGCCAGTGGTTGGGTTCGGCGCTCTTCCCCCGCCCACACACGGATGCATGAAAAACACACACAGACGGTCCCAGTTAGTCATCGGCTTCATAAGATCTTTCATAAAACCTTTCTCCACAGTTCTCAAATCCTTTTCCGCCACGGGCCGGCGGTCCAACTGAGCTCGGGTACAGGTCCCCTCAGGGGGGGGCAGCTGCTTCCTTCCACGGTGTGGCAGGGTTCGCCCCGTGTCCTCAGAATCCCGGCCCTGGAATCCCGGCGCTTTGCCGCCAGCCCCCGTGCCGTGTCCCGCATGGACAGACCCATGACTTTGCCCACCTGCCGGCAGCAGGGCCCCGGGCCGTGTCCCCAGATGCGGCGGAACTCCCACCAGCGTTTGTGAAACATTCCGTCTGTCCGTGTCCTTCCTCTGACTCTCTCGGTGTTCCGTTTGGGAGCGTCTCACTGGCCAGCGTCGGTGGTCAGGGTGACAGACACGTCCCCTGAGCCAGTGGCCTCCCCTCCAAGGTCACCTTTGCTTTCCCTTTGCAAGACCAGATTCCGTCTTGACCTCGTCATCTCTTGCAGCGGCTGGGCGATGAGGACGGCGGTCCCGATGCTGTCATCGTTAGGCCTTTTCCAGAGGTGACGCCGTCCGCCCGCCCACCTGCATCCTGCCTGGGACTGAGGTCCTGCAGCCCGTGCCCAGGAGCTGCAGGAGGAAGGGGCGGGGCTGTCAGCACCCAGACCGCAAACCCACGCTAACCCTCCCTGTCTTCGGGGGGGTGGGGCTGTCCTTCAGGAAGCCCAGGGTCACCTGATTGCTCTCTCCAGGGACGGCTTCTGGGCTCGGCAGGGTGGGGAGAAGCATTGCCTCCCCCAGCGCTCCCCAGTGTAGCTCCACACGCCCACCCCCCCTTCCAGAGGTACCGGGTACCCCCAGCCCCCAGCCCCCAGACCTTCTGGGGTTTTGCAGCTTGGTTCCTGGCCTTCTCCTTTCCTGCTTACGGCTTCTCAGCCCTGCTGGCTCATTACCAGTCACCGCTCTGCTTTCCAAACTCCGAATCTTTCTTGCGGCCACTGTCTATCTTGTTCGTATGCCTCTAAACAACCCCTTCACTGTGGGATGACTCCGCTGTAACGCCCTCAATTAACCAGCTATTGTTGGGGACATCCCCATCGTTCCCGTTTCTGTTTTTATAAAGAAGCTTCATTCAACAGCTTTCTACATACGTGTTTACATAAGCTCTTTGACTCTTTCTTAAGGTAAATTCTTGTAAGAGGAATCACTGGGCACACATACACATGTACATTTACTGTATGTGGTAGATATATCAAAAGACTTAAGAATATACGTATGCTCAGATGTAGACGCATAGGTACTCACATGTGTACTCATAAAAGCACCTGGGAATGTATATATACACACTCATACACACTTACAGTACACGTAGCACACTCGTGTATTACTTCTGGGTGCATATCACACTCATAGGCAGCACCTGTTGCTGAAAGTGGCTTTGCTGCGGACCCCGCATGCTTTTCTCTCATTGACTTTAGGGTCTGGGGTCAGACCGCGTGGGTTCAGACCTCGGCTCTCCCACCCCTGGTCATGTGACGTCACTGAGCCTCAGCGTGCTTGTGTGTGACTGGCAGTGACGACCGTCTCCCAGCCAGGGCCGTCTGACCCCGCAGTACAACACGGTGACCTCCCCTTCGGGGCCAGCCCTCACGCAGGGTCAGCAGGGCCGGGGTCCAGGGTCGGTCAACGGCACCCACTCCCTCCCGATTTCCGAACAGCAGTGATGCAAGACCAAACACCGATCGGAGAGAGGTCTCCCCCCGTGTCACCTCGACGACGGACGAGGCCAGCCTCACGTGCGGCCTCCCAGACCTCCTCCTGCCGTGGAGACCGGGCGCAGGCTGCAGGGGAGTGAGCCCGTGCCCGGGGGATGCACTTGACCCTGTGCGGCTGCGGGGGTCTAGGCAGGGAGAGAAGGGGAGGGCGGGTTGTCAGGGCGGAGACTCTAGGGAGGCGGCTCCGTGCAGGCGCAGCCAGTGGGGCTGGTGCTGTTGGCCGCAGGGAGCTCGCTCTACTGCCGAGGCTGGGTGCTCGGGGGGTGCACCCCCTCAGGAGGCCTGGGTGGGCTTCCATGTGCCCCACCTACTGCCCTCTCTACCCACTGGGATCGCCTGTCGGGCCGGTGGGCAAGCAAAGCCAAGGCCCACGGTTCACAGGAAGAGGCCGGCAACTTGTCAGGGCAGGTCTGCCCCCACCTGGGGCGTGATGCCACCCCCACCAGGCGCTGGTCTTTTCCAGGCTTGTTGAGGACCTGGGAGAAGAGCACAGACACTGCTCCCAAAGGGCCTGGACAGGCGCTGCAGCACTGCATGGGTTAAGTCAACTCAAGGTCACATTTTCCCCAAGGTCACGCACTCACCCGTCTTCCGTTTCCGTCTCAGGTTCCACCCGGCCCTGCCCTTTGACTGTGTCTGGCAGAGGCTCGGTGGTGAAGCGACACCCTGGAGGTCCTCCGAAAGTTTAGGGGGCAGCCGTAAGTCAGCTCATGTCTGGATAGAAACCCTTTATTCACGAAGAGGTTTCTGGGGATAACATAGAATCAGATTAGGTCCCTTGCAAGTTACACTTCAAAGACGCGGGAGTCCAAAGGAGTCCACGTTGGAATTAAATTTCTCTTTGCCCTTGTGAGTTAAAAGGCAAAGGAATGAAAGGCTGGAAACTGGCTCCCCAGTTTCTCGTTCCTCTCAGCTTGGCCGAGGGTTTCCTGGCCGGGACGTGTGGGCAGATCAAGGTGCTGCCTCGCGCCGCTGGGCTGTCTCCCGTCATACAGGGTGGGCGTGGCCGACCTCGCCACGCAGGACCGGCAGCTGCTCTCCGGGCCGCCGGAGCTGGGCACCACGGTGCAGGGGAGTCACAACCACTGGAATGTGTTCTCTCACAGCTCCGGAGGCGAGAAGTCCAACATCAAGGTGTCGTCTGGGTGGGTTCCTTTTGGAGGCTCTGGGGCCGGGGGGCGGGGGGGGCAGGCATCCCGTGCCTCCTCCCGGCTGCTGGTAGGTCCTGCCCCCTCCCACCCCCGGGTGCTCCTGGGCGTGCGGGCCCCTCCCTGCCATCTCCACCTTGTCTTTGCACGGACTTCTCGGTGTCCCTCCGGGCTCTTATCTGTGTCCGGTAAGGACACTGTCATTGGGTCGAGGGCCCATCCAGGTGCTCTCTTCTTGGTTTTTAACTAATTTCACCTGCAAAGACCCTATTTCCAAATAAGTCATGTTCTGAAGTGCTGGGTGGACGTGACCTTCTTGTCCCGTGGCACCCAGCAAGCACCCGGGCCACACTCCACACCTGCTGGTCCGGCGTCTCCGGGCTGAGACCCGGGCATCTGTACGGAAAAGTCTCCTTTGAAGACTCCAGTGGGCGTCCACGCTGAGACGCGGGTGTAGACCCCAGCAGGTGGTGTGACCTCTCTTGCGCACGTGCCTCTTTTAAAGAATGCAAGGGTGACGAGGACAGCAACGCCAGAGACCCCTCCACATCCGCCCGCCCCACCTTTGTGAGGCAGCCCCTGCCCAGGCTGGCGGGGACTCGAGGCCGTGTGAACAGAGGGGGGGGGCGTGGGGAGTGCCTGGCTTTCCCCTCCCCGGATGCCCGTCCCTCCGGGAAGCCGGCCTGGAGTCCTTGACCGCTGAGCTAAGCTCCACTGGGAGAAATCTTTCATTGGGGCACCGTCACCCTCACTGCAGCACTGTGCTCACCCCCCGGGGGACACCTCACCTGCACACAGCCACCGCCGCTGCCTTCTGGATCCGCCCAGACACGGATCGTGGAGCACCCGCTCCTGGGCCTGTCCCGGGCCTTTCTGCATTCCTCACGGGGACACCTCTGGTTCCGGGGCTTCGGTACTCTGAGCCCTGGCTCTGGGGGGCTCCCCGGAGAGCCCCTCGTGGTGTTTGGTGGCCTGGGTCCCCTCGCTTCTGAGTTTGCAGAAGCTGAAACCACTCTCCGAAAGGCTTCCTCTTGTCCCCGATTTCCCATGGCCTCAGCTTTGCAAACCTGTCCCTCCACATGCTGCCTCCTGAGGCTGGTTACGTGAGAAACACGGAATGAGAATGTTCCAGGCCTGTGACCACCAGCCGCGGCTTGGAGTTCTCCTGTCGCTTCCAGAGCAGGCTGATGCCGCCCACCGGACGGGCAGGACGGCCGGGCCTGGCCTTGACCTCCTGTCACTGTGCTCCTGGCTCAGGGCATCGGGCTCTGTCTTCTCTGAGAGTCCACTTCCGACTCCTGTCCTCACAGGGCGGGACGTTCTGGGACCACATCGGCTGTGTCACCTTCGAGGCACCGAGGAGGCTGCTCTGAGTGTCTCACGCTCAAAGGTGCGGGCGGCCTCCTCGGGAGCCGGTTCGGTTTTCTGGAACCGCTGGGAACAGCTGTCCCACCGCGAGTGGCGGTTTCCCACTTGACTGGACCGTGGACTCCACTGACCCCTCCCCACCCCCAGGAGAGGAGCCCCTCCCAGCAGAGCTGCTGAGAAGGCAGGTCTGCGAGATTCCAGATTCTAGCCCTTTCTGATCTGCTAACAACCGAGGTCACGTTAACAGCATCTTCCCCAGCGCCCTTGTGGGCGTGGTCAGCCCCGGGGTAGGTCTGTGTTTTCCGGGCCTCGGCGCCCACTCACTGCTTCAGCCTTGTCTCGGGGGTCCGCTCAGACCCCACCCTTCCTCCTACCTCTTGGGTCTCTCTGTGTGCAGGTCATACCCCCAGTCTGCCTTATTTTATCATTCCCGGGCTCCTGTTCTGGCTATAAGCCTAACGCCCTCCCCCTCACCGCCCTGTAAAGGTCATTCTGATTTTTTCTTGATTTTTCTGCGCACAGACGATTTTTAGACACACGGGTGTTTCTAAATTTTGAATGTGCAACAATTTCACTGAGTGGTTTTCCTTTCAGCCCAAATGAAGCATTTGTTTCATAAGCGACTCCTGTTTCTTTTTGTTTATTGCTAACGATGCACCGCCTCCTGAAGGTGAATCACGTCGGGGGGTCTGAGGTCTCAGGCCTGGACCAGAGCTTTTGGGAAGCACCACACCCAGAGCCAGCCCAGCCCAGGGGACCACATGATTCATTCATGCTCATCCTGCTGCTTTCCCATTGGCTGCGTGTGAAGCATCACCCTATCACTGCCCGGCTCCCTGGGCTCAGCCCCGCCCTGGGCTCATCCCTGCCTTCCGAAGCCACGGCTCTCAGTGTGAAGGCAGGACCCGGCTGCCTCCCGGTTTAAAAGCAGGAAATGCTGTACCCTTCGAGGGGGTCTCTTCCAGCCTTGGCTTCACGTGTAACACAGGTGTGCGCGTCTGAACGTCAGCTGTGTCTGCGTGACTCAAGGTCAAGCTGTAGCAGATGGCAAGCCACGGCCGCCCACGCAGCTCACATGTGGCTAGCGCACCTGCTCGGTCCTGGCAGCACTCACCTTCTCGGGGGCCGGGCCCTGTGCAGACGCCCTGCAGCGCGAGCCTCAGCCCTCCCCGCAACGTTGCTGAGTCCGTCACAGCTGGGGAGCATTGCTAAGGTGTGGGCGACCCTGGCTTGGTCAAGGTCAGGGCCTGCTGCCCTTCCTACTGGAAAACCAAACAGCCCAA